GTTATCAACGTGGTCGATCCTTGAGTAGGTGTTAATTAATCTACCATATGGGATTACAACCCAGACAAACCCAGCCGCAGGAAGAATCTTAGATGACCCACCCTTTGATAATTTTGTTTTATCATTTTATTATTTTAACATCAATTTTATTAAAAAAATAATCTTTAATTCATATACAGTATTATGCATATTGCAGTAAAAAATTAGGCATACCTTAACAATAAATAAGCATAAGGCTATACTTATTGATCTATAGGAAAATACAGTTACAGATTTATTTGTTGAAACAGCTAACTTAAATACGATAACAAAATTTACACATAATAAATTTGAAAATAGATGTATACACAAATTGAATAAGCAACAGAAGTTACGGCGTTTTTTTATAGGAAATATTTCTTGTTTATCTTTGCCTAACTCTAAAAATTATCTCTTTAATATATACATTTTTTTTAAATATATGGCCTCTCAAACCAATTAAATAACACCTGTAAGTTTCTAGAATGCTGGAGCTTCCGGGGGCTTTGCCACCTGGACCCCACCAGGCCTACGGGCTTGTTCACTTTAACTTAAAGTACCAGTTCCTATACCACATCCTTCCTAGATCTACGATACAGTGAGAAATAAAATGGTTTGAACTGACTTTTGGGATTGTCATGGTAACACTTGTATTCGGTTAGTAACTTTAGAAAAAGGACATGGTTAAAGAACGTCTGTCTTTTCTTCAAATGGAAAATACCTGAAACAAAGTGTCATATTTATTTGATTACTAGCTTGCTAGCAAATAGTTTAATACATATTTGCTTTTGTATCCAGACTCCTCATTTTCAAACAAGACATGAAAATAATGATTAGTAACGTTACAGTCAGTACTGTACTGTTTGTCCTTCACAGGAAGTCTGTAGTATGCCATGTTTCAGAACATTTTTTAACTGAAAGTGTATGTTCACAAAGTAAAACATTTTTGAATACACATACAACTTTTGAGTCTAAATGTAAATGTATAATTTCCACTTTAGCCTAGCCCCTAAATGGTGATTTTTACACCTCACAATAACTAGACTCTTGATATATAACATACAGTATTTAAAAATAACTGAACCAATTTTTCAGTCTAAAAGTTTATGCACTGTATATAGTTTTAAAAAGTTTAAGCACAAAATAAGCAAGTTTGATATCTCCGTACAACAACATGTTTAAAAAATACTAAAGTGACCATACATGAGTAATTGTGGAATTCTGTTTTGCTCCATTGTGAAGTATATGAAATCGTTTCGAACAGAGCCAAAAACAGAGATCAAAGATTGTAACGTGAGTGTTTTGCTTCCTACTTCTCATATCTGCAAGCAACTCATTCATTACATGTTTGTTCTATGCAGCATTCATGCCCCTTAAGAATGTCTTGGCTCTATGCATCATTTAATTGGTTACTAATCACAAATTCAGAAATATGGTCTAAGATTTGAATGAAAATTTGTTTCAACACAAGATGAGAGAAAGATCATTACAAAGTTCTCCGGAGAACTTGTATCTCCTCGTCACCTGGTGCTTGGATGTTTCAGTGTTTGTTGGTATGATTGGTCCTGAAGGGGTTCCATTGTAGTAGAAATATCAATATTTGGGCAAGATAATTGTTGAAATAAAGCTTTTCCTGGAATAGTGAGTTTTTGTAATTCTGTTTACTTTTGTTTAAAATTGCCTGGATAAAAGCAATCCTTAATTCATACTTTTGCTATTTCAGAGTTCTCATGGTTTTACATTGAAAATTTTCCATTTAAACTCTGCTGACATATATATCGTATTTAATATTTTAGCACACATACATTAAAAATACAACATGAACAAAAAATTATACCGTAGTTCCCCAGGTATAATCCCATCCCCCCATGAACGCGAAAAAATTGGCCCAGATTTTTGGGGGTCGGATTATACCCGGGGATTCCCGTATGCATGAACAGAACAAAAATGACGATCGTTTTGAGAGGTGGCAGAAGCTAGAACAACTGCCCAATGATTCAATGGCTTATCCAAAACTAAATTTTGTAATTTTGATTTTGTGACAGCCTGGTGTATTATCATCAAAATAAAAGACAAAAAATATGGGTCTTCGTTTTTGGCTCTTGGGCCTTGGGTCTTCATTTTATAGACACTCTTGCATTGCATGATATTGTCATTTATTCAATGATGAAAGTAAAGTTTAGAAATATGTTTACCCTGTCCAATAGATCAGCACTCGACTAAACATAAAATCAACTAAAATGCTGATCCTACAACAAATTACATTCAATTGTATTTGCCACTAAAAAACAGTTATCTAAAAGCCACATAGGTTGCACTGCAATAAAAATACCTCAGTATCAATTCAAACTTAATAATTAAACGAATACAGTATAGTTTGTAAAATCAAATAGTGACAATTACACAGTCTATGACAATGTGAAGACTGTGTGATAGGAAGGCCAGACTCATGACGATGGGAGCATCCAGAAAACGAGTTACAGAAACTCTCCATGTCTTTGTTCTGTATAGTCGTTTCTTTCTTTCAATTTGATATATGCAGTATTAGGTCTGTACCTGTGTATGTGTAGCTGCCCATGTCGTGTTCCATGCCTGACGATCCTTTATTTTTTATGAATAATGATCCCCTCAGTTCAGAGTTTAAAAAATCACCCGGTCAAAGATCCAACTCAGTCCAAAATGATTCTCTAGAGATTCTCTAGAGATTCAATGAGGAATGATTTTTACAATTTAGGCTTATTAACTTTTTTCCAAAATTTAATGTAATCATTAGACTAATATAATAAAAAGTAATAATAATAATAATAAATAAAATAATAACAAGACTTACTATGTCTGCTTGAAAAACTGAACATACAGTAGGGCTTTTCCCCTTTGCTTTAATAAGAAATGAAGTTGAAATTGCAACAAAAAGAAAAGTTGTTAAAAGGTATAAAGTAAAAAAAAACACGGAAAATCAATATAATTTTAACGAAGTGGGGGAAAAAAAACAATGAAAACCAAGTTCACTGCGACGTTATTAGTGAGACTTGAACTATGGCTGCAATAGTAATAGCTATGTACATCGTGACCCATAACCATTGCGCGCTATATGGGCCGACCTTGCATAGGAATGTGCATTTTCTGTTCATAGCGATTCAAAGACTGAAAACAAAATTGTTCATGCATATCACGGTAGTTTTGAGTTTAGCCTAGCTGTAACTGGTTTAAACGCTTTGGAAAATGCAAATTGCATTTAAATAATTTAATCAACTGTCATCAAAAAAATCTTTAAGTGATCCTCATATCCACACCCTACTGTGGATCGTCACCAAAATTGGATCATTTCTTCATTTCACCATGAAAAACTATTCTGCAAAGTGTCATTTTTATCCATCTATAACTGGGACATAAGCAATTTAAATAACCCTCAAATTTACACCCTGACTTGGATCGTCCCCTACACATAATAATATCTTCCTTGTAACTTGGGTTAAAGTTTCCCGAAAGTGTTATTCGGATCAGTTGACTGGTTTTTGAAATATCTGGTCTGGGACGTTTTCCATTCAACCGGGTCCTCAGATCTACAACCTACTCAGGATCATTTTATCATTTATTTACTCGGCCTTGACAAACTGTTATACAAGGTTTAAATTATACCCATTGATTTTTTTAAAGAGATATTTAGGTCTGGATCCTCAAAAATTGAAATGAATCTCCCATACACCCTTGACTGATTCGTCGCCAGCACATAATAATATCTTCCTTGTAACTTGGTTAAAAACACTGCTGTCACTGTTTGCTTATGAACATTACGTCCAAAGCTTACATACAGTAATTGGAGAAAGCTGCGATACAATACTCTCTCACTGTACACACACACACAGTGTTACTAAATAATTATTTCCTAGTCAATTGCCTCTTTATGTATGTGGCGTCTATTTTTACTTTTTTTTCGTATATTCATGAAGTTAAGCCAGATAATGTTAAAAATATTCAAAATGAGCTCTCGGTAAGCCTACTTACACTGGTTTGGAGGGTTTCAAGCACTATTGTATATCATAATAAAAGTTAAAATTCAAATCTGTTTAAAATGTTATATAAATTAACCTAAATATTTTATTCTTTTCAAGGGAAAATATGTATGTATATGACAAGATTTATTTTATATCACTTTTATTTCACAGGAGGACCGTTGCCTACTATTTCATTGGATGAGACGTCTCCTGGTACCGTATTAGTTATATACTTTCAGTTTTGTTTTCTTATATTATTATGTATGCATCAAAAGATGATTTTCCTCTGTTGCAATGCCACTGAGAACTAAATTAGTTTGTTAGGGTCCATTGATTCAAGGGATTGCTTAATTTGTCATAGATAATATTGAATTTGAAGTAACCAGGCTTTATCGAGTTCTAATCAACCTTATTTTACAAAAGTCATTTTTTCAATTGCTACTTGTCACCAAACGACTATTGGGTGAGTGTCCTGTCTTTCCACATAAAAACTCCAGCCTAGAAGCCATTGTTGTGCCCGATACACTGTACAAGTTGTTTTTACCTTCTACACATGAACCGAATAAAAGATCAAGCACAAAATGCACTAAAGAAAGATTACCATCGTCATATTCAGTGAATCAGGTGGAAAACGTATTGAGAACTGCTGCTCCATACACTCAACCAATCTAGACTTTTAAAAGCAGCTTACTTCTTATAATCACAATAAATGTGATACTGTATTCGAGTCACTGATTTCACTTTGTACAATATATTACCAGAAAAATATTAGAGCAATTGTCATTTACAAACTTGGTGCAGTCAATCCTGCTGTAGTCAATTTTCATTATGCTTTAAGAATTGGTATGGCTATTTAATTGGGTTTAACTTTTTTATAATTAGTCTATATTTAAACACACATTACATTTATTGCTATAGTTCCAGAACTAATTGCTGCCCGTGGATCAGAGCAAACAAAGTATTTCATTGAAGCTAAGAAGGAAGGAGCAGTAGATATGAACATGGGAAAGGTGATGGTGATGGGCAGAGAAGGTGCCGGTAAATCGTGTTTGGTTAACTCATTCCTTGGATTGCAGTAAGTATGAAAGTCATTCATCCATCATTAATCAAGCCTTGTTCCTTGCTTTTTAAGGTCACAAAACATTATTACCAATATTGACCATTGAAAATATAAGTCGTTGAACAACAAAGAAAGTTATACAGCAGTGGCATACCTAGAGCATTTCCTACTTATTGTTGAAATCTGAAAAAAAAAGTAAATTAATCTGTAAATGGCATAGTATGTTACTTTTATACATTAACAAGCATTAATTTGTCATTAAGAGTCCATATCTGAACAAAATTCTGTTTTTTTATTTATTTACTGGTCCGTTGTTTTACTTTTTGCTTGTTACTTGTATAGCGCCTTTCTTTTCAGTTACGAAACGCTGTAAGCGACTCTCCACAATAAATCAAAAACACCCCCCCAATTAAAGCTTGTATAGAACCAAACCAATATAAGCTAACTTAACTAATGCAATAAAGCAGTGGAATATTAAGAAAACAATACACAAATGCGATCAAGCAAGGTGGAAGGAACTATTGAAAATTTGTTGCCTAACAACCACTGCTAAATATTAGCAAAAAAAGGGATAAAGTGGAGATAGTGCTGCTAGCATTGCTGGGATCAAAAGTTACCTAAAGTTGAAGATCATCTGCGTAAAAGTGAAATTGAATGCCATAATGCCTGATAATATCACTGGACAAATGTAGAGACTGTATAAACATGGACCAATAACTGAACCTTGGGGCACTCCATAGAGTAGGGGATATGGGGCAGAATATGAACCAGAAATAGAAACCCTACTACTTATACCACATAGATAGGACTTAATCAATTCAAGGGCACACCCTGTAATGCCAAAAACAGATTCAAGACGTTTAACCAGAATGCAATGATCTACTGTGTTAAATGCAGCAGAGAGGTCAACAGCAAGAGATGTCAGTATAAACTTTTAGTAGAGCAGTTTCAGTGCGTGGTGACACCTATAAGTAGACTGTTATGGTTCAAAGAGTTGGTAATCTTCTAGATATTTATGGAGTTGGTTAATTATCACTCTTTCAAGTCAGCACAATGATGCTGCGAATTATGTGTTATTCTCCTGCCTTTACTTTAATATTATCATGATTTAAACTATTACCATCATCATTACTATTATTGTTATCATTATTATTATCAAGGCAATTCAACAAAAGGACGGACGTCATCTCCACTCGCGATCGTAGCGTGTGTTTACTGTCGTTTGATCTTAACTTCTGTGGCAATTTTATACAAGTTGCGAGTATAGCCGTTTCTTATTTGACTATTCCTGCCATACGTTTATGGTTCTGAATACTATTTAATTACTTTTGGGTGCTTCACAATGTCTGTTACATCTGATTTCTTTTGGCCAAGATCTTGTTACGTGCTTCTACAATTTGATTTCTGAAAATTGACCAACAAAGTGAAAAGTTATAGCAAACAAAAATTTCTGTTTTTTCAAAATTTTCATTTTGCAAATACTGCTCAGTTAAACTGTGGAACAATCTTCCCCCTGATACTTGCAGTTCAATAAATTCCTTAACTTAGCATTCCTTCAAAAATTTGATTTAATATTACATTTTCATTTTGCTTCTGGTGTATACCAAATTTGGCTTGTGTTTACCAAATTTTCTTTTGTTTTTGTATATAATTTCTTAACTTTCATTTCTTATTTTAATGTTTTAACTATTAACTGGACCTTAAGGAAGAACAATGTAAAAGTTGATTAAGTATCCAGAATAAAGAAAGATTCTATCTATCTACAATGTTGGACTAAGGTGCACAAAACAAATTTTTGAATAGCTAACATTTATTTTTTTTTAAATACAGTACTGTTCAGTCTTTAAGTGATCTGTGCTCAGACTATGGCTGTAAATCAAGCTATTTGAGGATTTAACACTGCCTTGGTTCCCACAACTAAAAAAAGAGTTTTTAAATACAGTACTGTTCAATCTTTAAGTGATCTGTGCTCAGACTATGGCTGTAAATCAAGCTATTTGAGGATTTAACACTGCCTTGGTTCCCACAACTTGCAAAAAGAGTCCCATGAACCACTGGACACCACCTCGTTTGTAAAATTAATCTTTAAAAAACGAATATAATTTTGAACTATTGTTAGAGCAAAAAATCTTTTGGTGTTTATAATCACTGCACGACAATCAGGCCATGTGAAACTTTGTCAATCATGTAGGGACGCACAGCAAGCGTCCTTTTGTTGAATTGCCTCAAGTGTGCATCATTATTTTCATCATCATTATCGTTATCATCCTCATTAGCATCATTATTAATATTAGTATCATGCTACTGTCACCATTGTTATAGCTACTGTAAATTGCTATAGTAAATTATTATATCAATGGGTTATATGGGTTTTTTTTTATAGTTTTGGAAAGCAAATAACAGCTGATAGCATAGTATTTTAATTATTACTTTATATTACTGTACTTATATTGGCACTAACATTAAAGCATTTTTTTTTTAAAGATTTAATGAAAATCATGACATAACTGATTGCATTGCTGTCAAAAAGGTCGTTTCCAAAAACACTGCTGAAGCTGATAAGTGGGAAGAAAATGCTGGGGATGGTAAGTGGTGAATTTGACATGTCTTTAGCAATATGTATACAATAATTAATTAAAATTCATAAATTACAAACAGCACTTTAATACTAATGACATACCATATATTTCTTTATTGCATTTATTTCTTTATTGCTTCCAACAGTGTAATTTAAACACAATAACATGATGGGAATACTGTATATTAATTCAAAAGTTTTTAAATACAGTACTGTTCAATCTTTAAGTGATCTGTGCTCAGACTATGGCTGTAAATCATGCTATTTGAGGATTTAACACTGCCTTGGTTTCCACAACTAAAAATATTAATTTAGAAAGAAACTTGAATACCACTCTATAATCATAATCTTGGACACTTGCTGTATCAATGTAGCTTTTGGTTACCATGTTTTTTATTTATTTCATTATATTCATTTCCAGATGCAAATAATACTAACATAGAGTACTGTATCTCAAAAAGGTTTGCCATGAAAAATAAAATATAGTAACAGACCCTCAGGATTTCACTGTAATCAGTAGACCGGGTCGTTAAGGCCAAAAACAACCCTGGTAAGGAGGACGAAACGATCGTGGTTAGAAATGAATTAGAAAATCAAATAGTGCCATATTTAAAGGGTTAAACTCATCAACACTTTCCTAATCTGTCAACAATAGACCAAGCGTGCTTTCATTTGATAACAAAAATCTTTGTTTTTTTTTTGTGTTGCAGTTATAATAGAAATAATGTGTGCATGTCTTATTTTAAGTATAGTTAGACACACTGTCTTGGGTGGAAAAAAAAATCAGAAAATACCTCAAGAATTTTAATTAAAATTTTGGAATAACTTTTTCAAAAGGGAAATCTAGAAACAGGTCGGGAAAAAAAATATTGGTTTTCGCTGATTTTACATATATTATTCCAAACAAACATAGGGGCTCAAGTAACGCCAGCAAGACGATGTATTAAGATCTCTTAATATTTTATATGTCAAAAATATACAGAACTATAAAATGGAAAAGTTATGTAGTATGAAATGGCATGATGAATCAATGTAGAAAGATTATTTCATTATAAACACCAACAATACAGAAAAGTATTGAATTTTAACTGTAAAAAGACACTTGGCATAATATAAAATGTGGTGATGCATCAAAAGTCATTGCAAGAATTTTCATTTTATATATTTTCAGAAGCAAAAAAGAGACGACTATTTCAATATAGGAAGATTGTATTTGTAGAAAGATCTCTTTTATCTCATAAAAAAATAATGAAAAATTATTTGGAAAAGTATTAAATTGTTCCTCTCATTCACAGCAAAAAAGTATCAATGATCCAGGGAAAATAGCCAACAACATTGAAAAATATTAAATTACACCTTTATAGTCATTTACAGTCAAAATATATTGATGGAAAATTCCAGAAGGATGCAGGGCCGAAACGACCCGACACCTATCAATATATCTTGGCTATGTATTGTTGTGGCTACCCTCTCGTAAAGTCGTTCTTCTCATCACCATACACTGACTGGAACTATTTTTAAATACCTGAATATGGGGGGAGATGTTAAGGTTTAACCAAGATCACTGCCACCCCACTGCTGAATACATACATGTATAATAAAAGTAACAAAACTGAAATTGTCTCTCAATGTGCAAAGAAACACAGACCTCTCTGTGTTGTACCTAAATTAAAGTCAAGTTTCCTAATTATGTTTTGTTTGTTTTATTTATAAAATATTTTTTTGAGATGGTAATTTTTAATTATGTATATTGTAGCTGCAGGGTTTCTAATACTTTATGTGTCCAAAATTAAAGGATTCTATCATAAAGATTTTAAAATTATGACATTTGACTGTAAATGATAAGCAACTCTTATAGGGAATTTGATTTAAATTTTCCTTTTTCCCCCTATAATTGCCATATTTGATAAAGTAAATCAAAGAATTATTAATAAACAAATAGACAGACAGACAGCACAACAGAAAAAGTAACAAATAAATATATAACTAATTAAAATAACCAAATAACAAAGCTGTACGTGGCTTCGTAATTATAAAACTTGCCTTCAAATCCCAGCTGGTCTGGTGTACAATTCCTGATGATTTAATTCCCTCACCAAAATCAACCCCTTCTGAGCCTCATTACAAAACTTATTTTATGCAGAGCACAATGTGTTCATGTTTGTCTCATAAAAGTGACACAATTATAAATACAAGTAAATTTGAAATAATTAAGATTTATGTTTTGATTCAATTTATACACAAGTCACATTTATATTAACATGTATTGTTACAGTATAATTTTTATTTATTTATTTTAAATCAATAAACATGTAAAATAAATTGCCACTTACAGGCTTCAGAAGACACAGACAATTATAAGAAACAGGATTACATGAAATTATGTAAAATTGTGAATATAATATGCAAATTTCATATTTGATTTTATTAAAACATATAAAGGACAAGAAAGGTAGATAACTAGTATAATTTGTTTGTTTTGTCACCAGAAAAAGCAGCTGAAATTTATGATTCAGGTGTTGCACATATTGTAACTAGGAAACTATTGGATGGAGGAAAGGAGAGTACAACGGCAGAAAGCACAAATAATGAAGCCGACTCAGAAAATATGCAGACATCAAGTAAGAAGGAAACAAGACGCGAGGACTCAGAATCAAGTGTAAAGGTCAGTCACGGTAAAACAATTAATATAGTGATTTAACAAGGCAAATATCACATTAATTTGTATGTAGGAAACGTTAATGTTAATATTCAGAAAGATAAATGATATGCCATATATATGCTTCGAACATTGTTAGCTGACCGTTTGACTGATGGTATGGTTCCTGCATCTTGCACGCCACGGCCAGGGTTTGAGACCAAACGGTTAGATAAACAATGTTCAAGCCATTGGTGCCGTGTGCATTTATGACTTATGCGCATGTTATATACACTCTTCGGAAAAGATTAGGGGATTTTTCCCGGTGTACTGCCCAATCACCACCAGAAGGACCCCACTGGAAATAATTCTTCTTCTAGATTTTCGTGGCTTATCCTAGGTATATACTGAATAAATTCAACCCGACCCGGCTCTGCAGCTAAATATTGAATTCGGGTCTTTTATAAAAACGCTCAAAACCAGTGGCGGATTTAGGGGGTGGGGGGCAGGCAGCCAGGGCCCTCTCGGTAAATGGGGAAAAAAAAAATTATATTCAAATTTTAAGACTTAGAGTGGCATATCCGGCTGCCTAGGGGTGCCATATTTAAAAATTGTCCTACCTCAGTAATATCGACCCTCCATCTCTGATGGTCCCTCCCAGGCCCCCCTCATTTCCTGGACTGCCACCGAAAAAAAAACCGTTTAATATTCATTTCATATTGCATCTTCAAAATCTATCATAACCTCAAACAATCTGGGGGCGAGAGGTTTCCGCCCACTCGACCACAGAAGGGCTGTCTTTAG